GCAATTTATACACCATGACTTATATTGACTGCTTAGTTGTGTTAGTTCAGTGGAAAGGTTCTGAACAATTAGCATATGCCCTGTTGTAAATAGATTTTTAAACAACCTCAGTTTAGTTCTGACCAAATTAATGACCTAAAGCAATGTTTCCCAAAGTTGGGGGTCGGGATCCAAGTGGGGTCCTGAAACGTCAAGGTGGGGTCCTGAAAAGATTTTCTGAATTAATGATTTTTGCCTTATTTGTTACAAAGGAGTGAGGTTAGTATATTTAAAATGGATAAATGTAGTATAAAAAATATTGTTACTAAGCCCATGTTTAGTTGACCTGATACAAATGTTTATCATCTAAAAATATCTGTGGGCACAGGTCTCTGCTGCTGTTATTTTGTGGGTCAAAAGCTGAAAAGTTTGGGAACCACTGTACTTTGGTTCCCAAAGTTGGGCTTGGGACCCAATTATGGGTCATGAAGCACCTTGGAAATCTCCATAAATCAATTTAAAGGGTAATAAAATAATTGCTGATGTAATATTTTCCCTATAATTATTACAAAAACACAAAATAAGTAAAAATAAGTATTTATATTTGTGTATAAGCCGKTTAGATTGTCAAAAAGCCTGTGTTTTTAGGGTTATTAACGAAGTTCATGTACTCAGACCAGTAATATTTGGGGTCACAAGTTTTTGCCATGGATATTTTGTGGGTCAGAAAAGAAAAGGTTTGGGAACCACTGACCTAAAGCACAGTTGAGCAATCCCACTCCAAGACTTGGAATAAAGGGCCACAGATGATGCAACCTGCATCTGTTACACACATCAAGTTCAAGTTTATTTGCCATTTGCAGTAGAGAAAACTACACTGGAAAGGTAGTGAGTGGCAAGAGCTCACATCAACATGCACACATAGACAAATTTTAAAAGGTTAAAAAGTTTCTAAATAAAAACACTGAACACAGAACCTCTCCTCTTCAACAGACTATAAATTCACAGAACAAGTTACATTCCATGTTACTGTGAAAAAGTTAATGTGCGTTATTCAAAACTCTCAGAGCCCGTGGGAAAAAAAAACAATTTAAATGAATGAATGAATGGTTTTATTTGTTCGGGACAGTGTGCAATTAAAACATTTGAGGCATTGCACCAGATGTAGCCTAAGGCTAATTTACATCTGTAGTCCCATCAAACAGTAAAAACAAAACAACATCCAACAGTAAAATATAAATGAGAGGAAAAAAATCAGAAAAATTAAAATAATATAAAATTAAACACTTTGCAATTAAAAAATACATAAAACACTCCACAAATGACGATACGTAGTACATTTGATAGAACAGTCTCCTCGAAGGAAGAAGCTCAAACATATCGTTGGATCATCAGAAGACTTAGAAAAAAGTCTACTTTTAAAAGTATCCTCCAAGGCTGGTAACTTACAGCCTATTGTGTTTCAAGCAGCACGTACTCTGTTTAAACCTTTCCTTTCTTTGCTAGTGAGATTTCTAAACCACACCGTGATAGAGCTAATGAAAAGACTTTCAATTGCACAATGACAAAAACTTGTCTGTTTAGAGTGAACTCCTTAAGTTTGCGTAAAAACATCACACCAACATCACATCATCTACAAACAAAAAACACAAAGAAAGCAATGATTTTTTTGCACTACAATGTGAAGCTAACTTTTGTTGTATTTTGTTTCTAGTTAAATTATTCCTTTAGGCTGATATATCAGAAGCTACTATAGGGGTTATTTTCTTTTTTAATGTATAAATGTCATAGACGGTGAAAACACAGTTTAGTGCCTATAAGCTAGCACTTCAGACATGTATTGCAGACATGAACTGATAAAAAACAGAATATTAAGTTTAGTAGTGTTTTTCACACATCCTTCATCTACAATTGTCAGCACATTTGCCATTAAACCACGGCAAATAATTGTTTGAGCTCATTTTAGTGGAGCCTTGTTTTGTAAACCAACAATAAAGATATCAAGAATAAAAATTAAAGTTATTTTATTGTTGTATGAGAACACTAAGGGCCAGATTAAGATGTTTCAAATGCCACCTCACCGGTTACAAAAGTGGATCGCTTCTACTTTGATTCGCAAAAACCTTATAGCGGTTCATGCAACTGTTATTATGTAAACTCTTGCATTGCTCCCAGCATTGCGTAACGTGGGTTTTTAAGTTGCAATAAATGTAGGCAGCAGGACACTTCCTGGTGCAGCCTGGGACATTTCTTGGTGCAGCCTGGAACACTTGGTGCATTAAAATGTAATGTGAAACTGTGTAAAGGTTTATTGCATGGAAAAATACAAAACCTTTAGGATTAAAGTAACTTTGTTTTTGCAAACTGAGGTTGTTCAGTCATCTTTTCACAAAACGTAAGATATGATTTGTTCACAACATTTCCACCTAACTATATTTCAGAACATCTGACATCCCTTTAAAGGAGTAGTTTAATCTAGCTTCAATAGAAAACAAAAATGAGAAAAAGAAAACACCCAAACCTGTCAACATTTTCACAGCGGTAAACATGTTTGGACATTTTCCTTTAAACTAATAAGCACATTTGGGTTTGGAGTGTCTTTAAAAGTTCATAAAGTACGTGTTTACTTTGTTTTTGTGAATAAGTGCGTGTAATGGAGCAGGCGTGCCTGGTAAACCTTCAGCGGCAGGCTGGTACAAGCAAGATTTACGTCAAAAAAATGGAGAAAGAAACAAAGTTAGGAACACAGATATACACATAAAGACAGGCTCTGTAATTATATGTTATGTAATGTTCTCTGAAAAAGAGGAGCACTATTAGAACATAAGTGCTGATTCACTGCACTGCAGCAGGCTGGTAAACACACTGAAGCTTTTAAGAAGACTTTTTAGTAAAGTCACTTTGTTGCAAAAAGCAGGGATTTTAAAGCAAGAAGTAGAGCAAAACAAACAAATACACGTTTTGCTTTAATATTAAACAGTCAAGACTGTATTTTAATATAATAATTCCTACTGCCTCTTTTCCTTTACTTGTTGTTGTTTACACACGACCAAGTCAGTGACTCATAAAAGTGGTTTTCTTTCATTTCTGAGTTCTTGTAAAAGCCTTAATTGGTGAACTTGGGTCGACAGGGTGTAGCAGAGAAACAACAGAGACCACAGGAACAGCTTGTCAGCAGCTCAGTAAATTGCAAGCTGAAAGCTTTTTTTTCTACTAATAGGGGCAAAAACAAACCCCTTTTTAAAATCAAAATCTTGTTATTCTTGTAATATTCCAGATAATTGCTGATCTTCTCCAAACATAGCACAAAATAATGTTTACACTGACATATCTGCATTTGACACATTTTATATGGGTACATTTTTAAAACTGAGCTCATAAATAATGACGGAAAAGTTCGGATGAAACAAAATTACTGTACTGATGAGTCAGTGTTAGATGGGAAGAGGAAGTTCAGATACTTTAGTGGTTCTGTGGAATGACAATGAACAATTATTATCTTATCTGTTGTAGATAGCTCTTTCAGCAACCTCAGTTTGGAGAAAAAGGTTTTAATTCAGACTAAACTGAAAAGCAAATGGCTAGTTCTGACTGGACCATGACTGAATGGATTGTTACCATCTTATTTGTTGTAATTTATTCTATAAATCGTATCACTATATCACGTGTTACAATTAGTCTGGCAAAAATAATACAATTTATGTGTGTCAAGTGCCCCAGATTGCACAAATAGAGCAAAATACTGTTTTGATTGTATAAATAGTTGTTTATTAAATTCCAAAAGCCACATATTTATGGTAATCTTGTCAAAAATACATTTGGTCAATCGGATGGATCCTCTAATTTAAGCTAGGTTTATAGTTGACGAGTTGAACATTGGTCCCTTGTTGTGCACCTTCTAATTTTTGCACGCACCGCATTCCATTTAAAGACTTTATGTGTTTGTTTCACAAGTTAAAAAGTGTACTGCCACATATCCTTTATGAGATTACACTAATATAATAGTCACGTATGAATGCCGACACTGCTCGCTTAGGTCTGCATGCCATCAGTGGAGCCCTGCGCAACTATAACCAAGCTTTTAGATGGTGTTTGAGATGCTGAAGAACATGTTGAATGTTATGATCTTAGATATGACAGAAGGGGGAGTAAAATGATATCAACATGGCAATATTTCAGGAAAAAATGCATCTTTTGTCATGCAGCCCTGGTTTGAACAATAAAATAGTAAAATATATAAAATGGCAGTTGAATGATGCGATACTCTCAAGGTCTAGAATGTATGCTTTTCTAAATGTGTGGTTTAGTTTAAATTATTTAAATCATTTTATTTTTATTGAAGAAGAAAATTGCATTACATTTCGTCTGCTGATTCTGATGAAAGCTGAGTTAGATAACTGCACAGTGAGCTCACTGCTGCTGAGAACCCATGTCTTGTCCAGATCGTGACACTGACAGCTGTTGTACTTTAGACCGGACTCTGATTTGTGGCACAAATCGGCAGCATGATAAGAAAGTTCCCTGACTTACAGTCACTTTGGCCATAAATGCAGACGGACTCTCACCCATACAGTAAGCAGTGGCGGCTGTATATAGGCCAAGTCGTCCAGCTTGCATGCAATCAACGGCTGGCGTGAAGCTGTAAACAGAACAGGTCATAGTGCTGATGTGTGTGATGATCTGTCCTGAGGATTGTTTCTGCAAAGTGCTGCTTTGCCACATTCTGCAACAAAAAACAGTAATCTGTGGTTTGGGACAACAGTAATTATCCTGCAGGTTTAGAGGTTGGACCAGAAAGCCAGGAGCTGAAGTGAGATGAAGTCATCAAAAACAGAATGAGGAGCAGGAGGTCAATTTGGACGCAGGAAACAAACAAATGATGAGGTGGAACGATAAACAGATAGGATGAAGACAAACAAAAAAAAATACGTGACAAGAGTTGGAAAGAAGAAGGTAGGAGGACAGAGATGAATACAAAAAACCCTTAAAGACAACAATAGGCGTTGTGGGCATTTACTTACCATTGTCACCAGGGCAACAATAGTTATCTGAATCTGACTCATTGTGGTAGTACAGGTCCATCGCCTGCGGGCAAAATAAAAAAAATGGCATTACTTCAACAAATAATTTGCTACAGCTGTTTTCAGTATTTTATTTAAAGTAGTGTTTCTGTTTCCCCTAGCTCAGGACTATCGAGGCCCTCGAGGGCTGCTATACTACATGTTAGAGAGGCAGGCAGCAGGGGGTGTCCAACGTGGTCCTAAATGACAACATTTTATATTCTGCCATTTCTTTATAAAAGACTCAGAATTTCACTATATGTTCTTTATTATGTGTTTAATCAGAACAGGTTTGGGTTGAAGGGATGAATTGAAGGAAATTAAAGGATTTGAATTTGAATTGAATTGAATTGATCCCTGATTAGTTGTAACATTAGACTTTATTTGATAAACATATATTTTAACTGTTAAAAAAGACTTTAAAATACTGTTGGCTGTTTAGTTTATATAATTTTTAAACTAAAAGTTAAAAAATATATTACATGGATGGGGCCATTTTATTTACATGCAAAGCATTCTGGGTAAATGATGACATGGATAGGTCCTCGGTGTGAGCGAGCTATATCCAACCTGAAGGTTAATCTCAGACAATATCTGACAATCGACTCTTTTAAATGAAACCAGAGAGCGTTGACAGAGAGGAGAAGGTAGAAATGACTCAGCCTGGAACTGAAAATATGGATGGAGGACAACAGAGCTGCTTCATGGAAGAAGAACCTCAGATTAGCTTGTTAGCTTTAGCGTTAGCCCCGATGCTATCACCATATATATATGTATTAGCTCAGCGCTACACATTCTCCTCTTGTCACTGAGGTCCTCCATCCACATGACAGAGAGGGGAACGCAAAAATGACTCAGCTTGCAACTGAAAATATGGATGGAGGACCTCAGTTTAGCTTGTTTGTCGTGCTAGCGCTGAGCTAATACATATAAGGTAATACAGCATTGGCGCTAGCGCAAAGGCTAACAGGCTAAGCTGAGATTCTTTCTTCCATGAAGCAGCTCTGTTGTCCTTCACTATATTTTTAGTTCCAGGCTGAGTCATTTCTACCTTCTCCTCTCTGTCAACGCTCTCTGGTTTCATTTAAAAGAGTCGATCATCAGATATTGGCCAAGATTAACCTTCAGGGTGGATATAGCTCGCTAGCAGCCTCACACCGAGGACCTATCCACGTCATCATTTACCCAGAATGCTTTGCGTGTAAATAAAATGGCTCCGTCCGTGTTAAAAATATTTTGAAAAATTATAAAAACTAAACATCCTTCAGTATTTTTACAGTCTTTATTTTACAGTTAAAGTATATTTTTATCATATAAAGTCTAACGTTACAACTAATCAGGGATCCCTTTAAAAATAAAAGCAAACCCACTTTCTTTTTTCACAATCGACAATAAGTTCGGCAGCTGTCACACGACAGAATAAACATAAGGCACGTTTTTATAACTGCTCCATCGTATCAGATTTGTGGTTTACACTGTATACATATATATTTTTCTTTTGCTGTCAATCATCAACTCTTTGAAGTGGCTGGCGTCTCCGTTAAATACAGTCTTAACCTAGTTTTGCTATGCTGCTCCATGCTCTGAACACTTATCACTGCTCGCTGTAAGTTTCCCTTGAGCATTTCTCTGTGAGTGAGACAAGTCGGGGCATGTGTGTATATCTAGTGTGTGTGTGTAGGTGTGTGTGTGTACATGGCTTATTTGTTGGTTTTATTACTTTCTTCACATAATGTATTCAATGCTTTCAACAGCCAGCCTGCTCCACCAGTCATTTGATCCTCATTAAGTATTCTAACTGACAGCAGCTTTGTCTCTTCATTGTTTCTCTAATGAATACACAAAACCTGGCCTCCTTGTTTTTGCATGATTTTGCATCCTTCTTCTAGCACTCCTTCATCTCATTGTTTATTAATTTGGTCTGGGTCCGATGAAATGTTAGTGTCTGTACACAACTTTGTCCAGACCAGTAGTCATTATGGGGACCAAAGACTGCTCCTAATATAGTGGAACTTCATTTTTGGGTTGGGGATTAGGTTTGGGACTAAGGTGTAAATTGAGTAAAAGTTAGGTATGTAGGTTTATGGAAGGGTAAGGGTTAGGCAAGAGAAATGACTGGAAATGAATAAAAGTCAATAAACCTTCCCAAGAAGGATAAACTACAAACTTGTTAGTGTGTGTGTGTTTGTGAGTGGGTGTGTGTGTGAATCATGGAGGAGTATTGTTTTATAATATTCCTGGTATTTGACAATAAAATACTTCTGTGTAATCTATTAAACTACAACACAAGAACTTAAAATCCCAAAATATAGCTTTTAGCAACATTGTCCATTAGTACAAAGAGAAACGATCTCCGCAGTTTCAAAGGTTTTTGAGCCATGATTTAGCTCATTGATAGCAAGCATTGCATTAAAAGTAGGTCGTGATAAGTCGAATCTCATTTAGCCGAAATCAGAAATTAATTCAAAGAGGCCATGAGTACTTTGCACAGGAGTGAAGAGAACTAAATGATCTGTAGCCAAACTAAATTCTTCATAAAAAAAAACTTCATGAAATCGTGGCAAACAATGCATAAACGATGTCATCACAGAACAAAGCAACACTAACAGGAAGACTTTACCAGGAGCTCTGAATTGAACTAATTATTAGGAGAGTGTTTGCTAAAACCTACTTGTGTTCGTTGGCGTGGCTGCCAGGTGTCCTCGAGGGCGTAGCTGATGTAGGGTCCGTTGCAGATGGAGCACTCCAGGATGACAGGACCGGCCAGGAGAGGCGAGTGGTGGAGCCCCCAGCAGTCGGACTCAGTCTCCTTCTGTTTGCCTGTGTTCTCATTATGATGGCGAGACAGCATCTTCCACTTCCTGACCTGGAAGTTGAGAAGAATCAGATTTCCTCTTTGAGTTTGATGTTTGAAATCAGATTCAATAGCTTTAATCCAAACTGGGCCTTTGGTCATTGCGATATGATCCCGTACTTCAAAAGCAAATATGATTTTTCTTATTTAGCAAATGGGGACCATTTAAAGACGCAGCCTCTTTCACACGAATCAAACTGACCTTTTCAAAACCTTGCAACCGCAGCAATCGTTTTAGTTATTTACCTGTTAAAAATACGCAATGCATCTATTACAATGGCAACACTGGTGCAGATGGTTCCTTGCTTTTTTGGCTGACAACAGAATTCAAACAAAGCTAGACTGGCATTTTTGAGACCATGTAAGGTTAGGTCGGGCTCACACTGAGACAATGTGAAAGTAGCCTTCATATCACTTTTTCTGAACGTTTTCCTATATTTCAAAAAAAGAATAAAAATACTCTAATGGTACATAACAAAATAAATATCTAAATTTTCATATTTAACCCTTTTGTTTGCCTACAACTAATTTGGATAAACACAAAAATAGTTTACAGTTTAAAAAATATTATTAGTTAAGTATAGTGGGAGTAAAGAACTGCTGACATTTTAAATTCACTTGGTCATTATTTGAGGTAAGGCCCAGGGGTGATTCATGGTTTCTGTGAAGTTTTGAGAAAGAACAGTAATTTCTTCTCCCTCGTACTGACATGACATGGCCATGCCTTGTTGTGTATATAAAACAAGGAAGTAAAAGTAGAACATAATCAAAACTAGACTGTCAGGATCACGACTATGTAGCAAAATACCCATAACTTGAACAGTTTTGCCACTGCTAGCTTGTTGACTTATGCTAACGTAGTTTTAATAGCTCCATTTTCTTAAATCAGGATTCTGCATGTAGAATGCTTACAACTAGTTCTTTTTGGGTCTTTTATTAAATATATAAACAATTCAAATGTGCATTGCAGTCTGTGTGAACTGCTTGTGTAATCTAAGCACATTAACAGCGCAGCTATGACAGCAGCGGGACCAACAAACTTGTGACAGCAAGCGTCGGCATCTAGTGCTTATGAATAAAACATCATAAGGCCATATTTGTTTTGAACAGGAGGCAGAGAGTGAGTCAGTCGTGGCTTTAGCGGTAATCTCTTCTCTCGTGACAGCTGCAGCGACAGACTCTCCGGAGGACAAACTTACCACGAAACCTCCTTTTCTCAATCAACATTTAGCATGTGTCTGGCAACGCTGACAGAATACATATCACAGGCAGAAACAGAAACGTCCTTCAAGTACGCACACACACAAAGACAGACATGAGAGAAAGAGAGGGTGTGTGCGAGCTGACTGTAAGGCAATAAAGGAGAATAGAAGCTCAAAGGTCACCAGGTAACCAAATTACATAGCTGGATGTGTCAGTGACCCAGAGCTGCTCTTACCTATGGTAAAGGGTGTCCTTGGCACCTGACAGCTTCAAAGACTGAAGCGATATGAAAAAAGGCTCATTGCAGCCTCTATCAGAAGCTTTGCTGGCCCTCTGCATTGTGGCCTGGGAATAGTGTGTGTGTGTGTGTGTGTGTGTGTGTGTGTGTGTGTGTGTGTGTGTGTGTGNGTGTGTGTGTGTGTGTGTGTGTGTGTGTGTGTGTGTGTGTGTGTGTGCGGCGCGCACTGCAGTTCAAACTTACAACTCAGCAAAAAAACTTTACTCGATTGTGGATGATTGTTGAATCCTAATACTGTGGAGCCCACGAGGAGACATGGGAGATTTTTATTCTTTTGCGTTCCCCCGCAATAGTATAGCGTTACCTCGCAATACATTTTGCATTCCCTCGCAAAAGTAGTTTATCACTGTTGTGCCTGCCGTTTTATTAACAAACTCACATGTTCACCATTAGCGAGTTAGCCTACTGCTTTAATTCAGCTTCAGAATGAATAAATCACACAGCTACGCATGGAAGTATGTCATATACAGATACTTTAACACAGTACAGCCACGCAACATCAATGTCAATTTCACGAACTTGTGGCGACACATCCTGTTTTGGTAACCGGATATTTCAAAATAAAAGTCTGATTTAATTCAGTTCATATACAAAACAATCTTATGCGTGGGAACGCAAATCAATTTTGTCAGGTAACGCAAAAGCATTGCGAGGTAGCGCAAAGATATTGCGAGGTAACGCAAAAGTATTGCGAGGTAACGCAAAAGTATTGCGAGGTAACGCAAAAGTATTGCGAGGTAACGCAATACTATTGCGTGGGAACGCAAAAGAAAAAAAATCTCCCCGTCCCCTCGCAATACAGAGTGGTCTTGGGAGGTTGGAGCACTTTACTGAACCTTTACTGAGGACATCAAAATTTACACTGTTTATTAAAGAAACAGTTTGTTAGCATAACTCCTATACCTTACATCTGTTGAAATGGGGTTCCACAAAGATTGTGAACTTGTAGATATCTCTTTGAACAACCTCAGTTTGGAGAAATACAGTGTTTTTTCCGAACAGACTGATGAGCTAACAGCAAAACTAGATGCTAGCTTGGACCAAAAAAGTGAAAGGCTACCATAATGAACAATTTCAAAAATGTTATTGCAGTTCATGGGAATGCTATTTTACACAAAGTTTTGCATTAGTTAGTCATTCACAAAAAAATGTTGGTTATTTAGCTAACTAGCATTTCTGGTGCAGCCTGGGGCTTTTTCTGCAGAAACATCCTTTCTGCCAGAATAACCATTTAATGCAAAAGTGAATTATTTAAGACTGGAGCTGCTTTAAGAAAGCATACATTTACTTTTAGCCAGGCCCATTAGCTTGTAAATCTGGTCAGTCATAAACTCCAAGGTTGCTCAGTAAGTTCAGCTGGTGAGTCATTAATTGTTCATAACCTTTCCCTGTTCAGAAGTTCTGAAATCCCTTTAACATAAATTCATTTTGACCAATGTAAAAATAAACCCCCCAATCTAATCTTGATTTTAAAAGTCTGGAATTTGAGATACTGCAACATTATCTTTGCATTATAAATCTCTGCAACATTTCATCCTTTTTAAAAACCTTTGAACTGTTCCCTGCATGTTCTAAAATGTACGCATTTATTATTATGTCATCTGTTTTTCTTGCTCAAAGGAAAAATTACCAGGATTGCTTCAGGGGACAAGAATATGTGCACACAGGAAGTGCACACAAATAAACGAGAACCACTGACAGACCTCTTTCCTGACATTTGACCTTGTTTTGAGTTACGACCTATTAAGACGCAAGCTATTACATTACATAAGAACTTTAAGAATAAGACCAGATTTGTCCTTGTGCCTCATGAGCTCAGAATATGATAAAGTCTAAGGAAAATCTCCTAAGAGGCCGGGATGTTCAAATCAGACCTAGAACTTTATAAGAAATTAAAGGAAAGCATATATAATTTCATATTTAATTAGAAACCCTTCCTCAGCCAAACAATTTTTTTGAAAGACAAACACTTTACCGTAAGGTCACCACTTGACTCTGTAGTGATAAAAATGCAAAACAAAAACCCAAAAAACAAATCATAAAGTCAATGTCAGTCATCAATCAATCACTTGAGTACGAAGAAATTTGGACATTTTTGATAAGTTTCTTGTAACCTTCCTGCGTCACTCAAACAGTATTAGACCTCTTTTCTTAGAACTGTTTCTTTACAACCTTGTATTGCATTTTACAATTTTGTTTTCCAGCAGCTCCCATTTATGCAACTCTTCTTCTTACAGGTTTAGGGAGTAAGACAAAAGCAAAGACAAACCCATATTTTGAAAGACAAAGAGATGATAAACAGAGAAAATTAGGCAATCTTTTACAAGAGAACTATTTCTGTGTCAGAGTTAAGACTTTTCTCGTTAATGCAAAGGTCACGGCTCTTTCTGCACTCTGTTTTTCTTCTCCCACTGTTAGACAGAGGCAGCAGGTCTGAAAATGAGCAATGATTGAGGGTTAAAGCTATTGCTCAGATTATGAAAAGGAAACAACACATTGATGTCCAATATGAGAATCTATATTACAAAATGTGACAGAAACAGCTGTTATTCAATGGACAAGCCAAAAAGAAAGGCAGATAGCATAGGTCATGTAACGTTGACCCAGCTCACACTTCATTTTCATTCAAAGTGACTTTTGTCCTTTTTTAGGTCTCAAGGAGTTTTATGACAAGGTCTCTGAGTTCAGACTTCCTGGCAAAACCATTAATATTCATAACCTTCATCGTGCTTTAGCACATAGACATTTTGTTGGAACTTAAAAAGCTGCTCTCTCCCTGACATCTACTTCCCATTAAAAAAAGTCTATGGCGACGCGGAGACTGTTGACCTTCCAACAAGGGCTGTAAGGTTTTCTTCTCTTCTGTTATTTATAACAGGTCTTTTGTCTCAGCAAGATATTTAACACACCTTGGGAAGCTAAAACATGAAGACAGACATTGTTTTTGAAGGAGATCATCATCATATCATGTCACACCAGAAAGACAGCCATGTCTTTGCTCTCCCATTGACCTGACAGAGGTCTGCAGATGTTTTATGTACTGGACTTAAGGTGCAGGAAAATAAAAGATGGTATATGTTCTGGAGTTGATGACCACATTCAGGTTGATTTCAGTCCCCATTTTACCAAGCTGATTTTGGTCTTCCTGACACCGGTTTGGTACCAATTCAGAGCACACAATTCGTTTGTCCGCAGTCTAAAACTTTAGCCAATGAGGGTCAAGTTAGGAATGTGCTCTGTGACTCTGCTAATACAGCTGTAGAGACTGATCTTAACAAACATTGAAGAAGATGGAATTTAATTTCCTACGTGTTTTTAATGATGATGTATCCAGAAGTCTAAGATTTGATTCAGACTGAAAACAACTTTAAAACCACTGTTTACCTTTACCTCAGAGTCTCCTGAGCTTGTTCCAACCAGATCTGGGTAAAACATTACAACGTTATAGGCTGCAAGTCCAGGAAACTGCAGCTGAGGGGTTTTGCACTTTGGTCCAGTTAAAGCTCGTCTG